ACAGAGATCTCCCAGCTTACGGGACAATCTCAGACCTAGTAGACTGAGAGCGATCATCACCAGGGTTGGTTAACTCTGCAGTTAACCCTTTACACACCAAACGATAGCAGCCAACACATAATTTAACGGAAGCATGCACCGATCCCAGCAAATGCTGTGACATTTCAATAAACGTAAACAAAGCCTATGATACCAGTCTTTTCAGACGGGAATATGAAAGTGTTCCCTATGCAGTAGCACTCTTCACGGAGTTAAGGATACTTTTGAGTTCTTATTTAGAGTGTAGAGATAAGCTTAACGATTTTTTAGATTGTTCTTTAATAAAAGAAACCATGCAGAAAATATACGGAAAAAGATAATAATAAAGAGAAATATATAACAACAGTAAAAATAAAAAGAAAGTACTTAACAAGTCCTGGGATTATAGATTCTGATAGAGTCCAGGTGTATGCACAACAGAGGGGTCTGAATGGATCTTGTCCAAGCAAGGCTTGCACAGATTCTTTCCTGATGTTAAAGGGAAATCCTCCTGTAGCTTTGGTGTTACGAGCTTCTTGATGTTGCGAAAGTCCCTCTTGATGTGAAAACAAGAGCCCCCTTAGCTGCCTCTGCAGCATCTTTATGTCAGCCCATAAGGCAGGGCTGGGGAGGGGGAGCAGGAGGGTTTAGCCTTTACTCCTTCTCTGCCTCTCCCAAACTGGTAATGTTCATATTAATAATCATATTTCTCTAGGATCATAAGCTAGTCCTAAATAGGCTGTGGATTATTGTGTTTCATTACTTTAGCTTCTAATTAAGTTTAGATTTGGTAGGTGTATGACCTATGGCTGGCCCAGGAGGGTTAATGTGGCTTGTCAGGCCTCTTACCATCATAACCTGTCCATGATTGATATGTACAGCGTCATCTTGACTAGACACAGCTATTTGTGCGATTCATTTTACAATATCAATTTCCAATTCCAAGTTATGAAATTGGGTTGATATTGTAGCTCGGTTTTATGACTCCATGTGTTGCCTGGTCACCGTGGTCATTATCCTTGCCAGACCCTCTTGGGTTTACCTGAATCTGTCGAATGCTAATTTATTGGTGATCTGTAGGGGATTGCTGGGCAAGGCAATTACCATGGTATTAGGGATTTATGACCCCGATTGCAAAAGAATCATCTAAACTGATTCACACTAGGTCCAGGGTAAACTCTATAAACAATCAGATTTCAGTGTTTCACTAAGGACCATAAAGATCACCGTCCAGATTGATAGATATCAGTTTTTTTATGGAATGTGAAGATGCTTGGCAAAATTAGGGCAGCCTGAGGTCAATTGAACTGAATTGAAGGCGGCATTTTCTCAAGATGTGGAAAGAGAGAATTTCATAGTTAATATTATTAGGCTCAAACCTCATTACCGTCACACCCCCCCTTGCCACGGCCTTTGTCTTTTCTTTCCTTCTGGCTTTCTTTCTTTACCTTCTTTCTCTTTCCTTCTTTTCCATAATACCCATTTACTCCCTATTTTAAAGTCTTTTTACTTCTTGGCCCTTGGGGTTTCTCTCTTTATGTTCTTGTTACTTTATTTTATTGTTATTGCTGTGCATGCTTTTTTTTGCATTTTGAATACTGGACTCTTACACTTGCTAACTTTACCTTTATATATTTATGTTTGGATTATGCTTGCACTATGGCATTATAACTTGTTTGTTACCTTTTATTGTAAAATCTTTAATAAATACTTTTTAATCAAAAGAAAAAGCTGATTTAAAAAAAAGAAGCAAAGGGAGTTCTAAAACTCTACATAAAGGAAGCACTGCTAGAAGCAGTTCCAGAGCGTGGGAGGTTAACTATAGAAAAGCAACCAAAGCAGGATTTCAGGCATGCAAGACTGTGTGACCAAAAGAATAATTGTAAGGAAGCTTCCCTGAGAAGGGAAACGTGCAAATTAGTAATCAGCAACCACGAGTTATGTTTAAAAGGGACCAGTAGAAGAGTGGTTGGAAAGCAAGACTGTCCAACAAAAGTAGAGAAAACAGCTGAGGAGAACAATTACATAAGAAGACATAAACCAAGAGAGGGGTCAACCAATCGAGAAATCCCAAAGGTGTAAACGGGAAGGGTTTTGGAATATTTATGAAAAGCAGAGAAAGTCCAAAAGCACACATTTCCTCACAAGATCCTGAAGGTAAAATAAGAGTTTTCACAGTGAATTCTAATCATAAAGAGGAGTACTAATAAATGCAGTAACGCAATCAAGTTGTTCCTCAGTACAGCAAGTTTCATCGGGTAATAGCAAAAGCGCTCGAAATCTGTCAAATTGGGAGGGCATCTCCTGTGCCCAGCCCTCTTCGGGTCACCCCAAAAGATTTTCAATTGGATTCAGGTCCATGCTCTGGCTGGGTTATTCCAAAACTTTGATCTTCTTGTGGTGAAGCCATTCTTTTGTTGATTTTTGAGGTATGCTTTGGGTTGTCATGCTGAAAGGTGAAATTAATCATCAGCTTTTGAAGGCCTGAAGGTTTTGTGCCAAAATTGACTGGTATTTGGAACTGTTCATATGTCCCTCCACCTTAACGAAAGCCCTACTTCCAGCTGAACAAAAATAGCCCCAAAACATAATGATGCCACCACCATAGTTCACTTGTGGGTATGGTGTTCTTTTCGTGATGCAGTGTTGTTTTCGCGACAAACTTTTTGGAATTATGGCCAAAAAGTTGAATCTTGGTCTCATCAGATCATAACACATTTTCCCACATGCTTTTGTCAGACTTGATGTAGGTTTTTGCATAATGTAGCCAGGCTTGAATGTTTTTCTAAAGCTGGCCATACCCCTATAGATTATCTGCAGATTTTCTATGGTCAGATGGAAAAAGTGCACTGATCACTCACTGATCGCTAAATGTTTGCATTGGCTCTCCTTTCTCACAGCTGTCACAGGAGGCTGAGGGAGTGGTGGAGGGAGGAGAGCTCAACCTCCTGGCCTCCTGGGCCTGTCCTCCCTCTCAAGAGTAGTGAACTTCTGACATTTTTAATTCTCCATGTTTCCATGTCAGCACAGCTTTCTACTGCATAACAAAGGTATAAGACATAATCTAATCAAGTTAGCCCCTGAGCAAACATGCTAATTTGGTTTCCATTGGAAAATTCTTGGTAATAAGCTCCTATGCCAAGTCCATCCAAATGTCAAATGCTATTTTTAGGAGGATGCCAAAGTGTTAAGTCATCTGCTGTCTTTATACACATCTGCACTGCAGAGAAACCAAGGAAAGGCGTCTTCCTCCTACTGCTGCATTATGTCAAATAAACGGACAATCCATTGAAACGAGCAAGCACCCCTTGTTATTTCTATTTGAACATGAATATAAAAATTGTACAGAATATGTAAAAATGCTTAAAATATCAAGGCCAAAACACAGTAGTATTAAAAGAGACCCTGTCCCCAAGTAAAAGCACAGACAAATCAAATATTTGAATGCTTACTTGAAGTGTTTGTTCTTACCATTAATTATTTTTGATTAACTTGCAATGTCCCTTTGAGTTTGCTAGAAACATTGACTGCATCAGGAGGGTCAATTCCTTAGCACAGTCCCCTCCCTCCTTGCATGCCATAGCTCTCTCCTCTACTGGGAGTGCCTAATTACTTTCTGTGCTGGCCAACTCCTCTGTCACTGTCCTCACCTTTAGGCCTAGTTCACACCTGGGCGTTTTACCGCTGTAAAACGATCAACATGTGAAAACCAAATGATTGCCTATGGGCATGGTTCCCACCTGTGCGTTTTACAGCGTGTAGGAACGCGCTGTCAAACGCCCTACGCCCAAAGAAGTACAGGAGCTTCTTTGGGGCGTTTTGCTGCTCGTTGCCATTGGTATTCCCGGGTGTGGATCGGGGTTAACAAAGCGGTAACCCCGAGCCACACTCGGGAATACAGCGTACATGTCTTACCTTGTCCGCGATCCCCGCTGTGTCTTCGGCGGCTGCCGACTTCCGGGTTCCGTCCCTTGCGAGCGGCCGTGTCGCAGGGGGGCGGAGGCAGTGGGAAGTTTAAAAGTGAAACTAAAAAAAAAAAATCATTTTTTTAATAGAGAAAATAAAGAAAAAAAAAAATCATACCGCCAGTGAAACACGAGTTTCACTGAATGAAAAAACGCGAAAAAAATGAGCGGAAAAACGAGCATAAAAAAAACGCTCACTTGTGAACCCAGCCTTAGCCTTTTCACGTAGCTGCTGGGGGAGGAGCGAAGGAGAATACTATAGAATGTCATTTTAATGAGATCTCCAAGGCTGCTGACATCACATCCAAGATGGCGACACACAGCAGCAGTCTTAGGGCTTTAGGATGTTTACACGAGAGAGGAGCTTACAGATAAATAACATACATAAAATATATTAAATGCACATATAATGCTACAGGAAGATTGTTTTTAAAACAGTATAGCATGAATGAAGAGACTGTACAGACTACATATTGTACATGGGAATGACACCGTTTTGGTTTTACTGGTAGTGACTACTGACCTACATTAAAATAATTACAAAGACAAAAAAAGTTTGTGATAGGTAGAAACAAGTTATAAAATCACATTTTTGTTTTTTAGAGGGCAGGAAAACATTGATAGGTTTTAAGTAAGGCACAACAAGAACAATAAGCATACAGTCCAAAAAAAAGTCTATTACAAGATTCTGAAACCTGTCATAAGAAACTGTTCTGTAAACGAACATAATCTGAATATCCTTCTGGAGAAATGTGGCAATATTAAAAACTATTGCTCCTGAAATTTCCTCTACACAGAGAAAAAAAATTAAAACACAAAACTGTGATTTTCTTTTTTTTTGTGTAAGAATGTAAAATCCAAAAATAGTGTAAAAAAATAGTCTTAGGGCTAGTGTACTTTTTAAATCCGTTGTGGTCAAGTCTGAGGTCAGTTTGTGCTTTGCTTTTATTCCTCCTGTTAAACCTTTGTAACCAAGGGATACAAAACAAAAAACCCCCCCAAAAAAAATCACAAATGTATCACAAATTGATCTCAAACGATCATTTACTCCAGCCCTTATGTAATGACTTCTACCATTTGATCTAAAATTTCGAATTTTCTTCAAAAAATTTAAGTTGCCGAACTTTCAGATTGTAGTTGTCGTACTTCTCACCGAGAATTTTCTGTAAATGCAACTGAAAGAAAAAAGCGAGCATTATATGACTAAAGAATGGAAATTGGAGAGACTATTTCTTTCTCAAACAATACCATGAAAACCTACATCAGGGCACTTAATTTTTAAGGGGACTTGTCACTTTGAAGAAAGAGAAGGCTAGTTGCACTCCTTACCAGTAAAACCCAGTAGTCAGGGAAGGGTGCATGGATTTCGGTGTGCTGGTGGCGTTTCTGCAATTGTCCCTTTAAAGCTGACATAATGTGCACAGGAAGAGTATAGATTATAGCGGTGAAGGATTGGAACCTCTGTCAGGGACATTTCCTTCACTTCCTGCCCTGGAAACACAACAAGCGAGTTTAAAGTGAGGGAGAATACTTCCACACTGGAAGATTTTCCCACACCTCCTGTTCTAGTGTCAACTGTAATATTTTGGGTTTCCCCTGACTCTCTGTCTTGATGACAATGGTCACTGGGACACATAGAGAGGGTAAATCTTCACAATGAGAACACAGATAGCAATAAAAACCTGACAGATGTTTTAACCCTTCCCTGCTAAAACTACAAAAAAAAGGTTTTGGCTGGAGATGCACTTTAAGCTACTTGGGGAGCTAGATACCTACAGTGAATAAGCCACAAGGTAGTGTTGTTCTGAGAAGTTGTTAACAGTGAAGAAACTGAAGTGGTAAACATGAAAGGACAGTAACATATTAAATAGGGATGCACCGATACTGGTTTTTCGGTTTCGAGTACTACGAGTACCGATACTTATATTTCGGTACTTCGGGTAGCATAGAGCTGTCTTCCCAGGCAATCAGGAAGCCAGGAGGTCTTCTTGATTGCCCGGGAAGCAGACTCCATTCTGTTTGGCCAGCTGGATGCTGATTGGCCAGGAAGCCGGCTTCCCATCCAATCGGCATCGAGGCCGGCCAAACAGATCTGACTATATTAGTGACACGACCCCCACCCTGCAGGCACCTAATTCCCCTCACATAGATCCTTAACATTCTTTAACGTATCAGTCCCTGGGCCAGCTGGGCACACGCCGCTCTCCCCAGGTACGGTGCCCACATGATCGGCGCTCAGCCTGCTACTCCGCATGCGCAGACTGCCCAGCGCTCTCATTCAGAAATCCTGTGCATGTGCAGTAGCAGACTGAGCGCCGATCACGTGAGCGCTGTGCACACAGGAGACGGCAGATCTGGCCGAGGGACTGGTACGTTAAAGAATGCTAAGGATTTATGTGAGGAGAATAAGGTGCCTGCAGGGTGGGGGTCGTGTCGCTATATTATCAGATTTGTTTGCCCGGCTCGACACGTATTGGCTGGGAAGCCGGCTTCCCGGCCAATCAGCATCGAGCCGGCCAAACCGCATGGAGCCAGCTTCCCGTCTCCATCTTTCCTCGCGGCACTGCCGGTCAGAGGAAATCTCCCTCTGACCGGAAGTTCTAGTATCAGGAAAGGTATTGGAGCATTAGGGCGAGTACGAGTACTCGCCCAAATACTCGGTATCGGTACATCCCTAATATTAAACATGATGGCTTTATAGGATGACACATTATGAATTTCTCTCTGTAGCACCTATGTAGCTACTTCACTAAATGAATGTGGTGAAACACATTAAGTGAGAAAATGATACGGTGTATGGTCACATTTTATTTAGTGCAAGATCATTGCTCTGAACACAGAAATGGCACAGTTCAAGGGCCTGTATTGATGGGTTTATATTTGCATTATTTTGTATTCCCATACAGATCTAAAGGAATGCAAATGGATCTTGAAGCAGATCAACTGCAGGTAAAATGCACCCGTCAATGAATGCCACTGACACAAGCCCAAAGCTCGTCGACGCAGGCCTGAAGATAGCATTCTAGGGAAAGAAAGCCCAGCAGGTGGGCTACAGAGAAGAGGGACACTGGTAGATCGAATACTGGAACGAAGTTAAAAAGAAGGATAGTACAGAGTTGTTAAGAAAAGGAATTCCGTAAGATTGAGTTAGTTAAGGAACAGAGATCTAAGATGGCTTTCCTAATGGAGACAGTTAACCAACAACTACTAACGAGAAGGAGTAAGGGATATTAAAGAACGAATGATCTATTTGACTGATATTGTCTGTTTCTTTGGTTACGTGTTAAAGAGGAAATCGTAACGTTAACATGAAATCCCCATAAAGGAAGTTCGGAGTATAGGCTGGCTATGAAACAGAAGCATGTTTAATTGTCAGATATAATAGAGGCCACAAAAGGCATACATAATAAAAGGTTATAGTTTAGTAAAGTCTGAGTATTGACACAATAACTTACAAGATAAATGGCAGTTTAAAAGAGACTTGTACTGAAATGATATAGAGACTGCTATTGCTGACCTTTAGTTCAATGCTAGCTGTGTGGCTTAACCTCTATGATTAAGCCCAAGTGGTGAAACGCGTAAGCGGCGTTGGAGTGGGAGAGATTCTTTGGTGGTGTACACCTTATATTTTGAACTTTGCATGGAATTTACAACAATAAAGTTGGATTTTTATGGACCTCGGTTTCGTGCGGCTGATTGGAGAGATACTAGCTGTGTGGTTGTCATGCTGGAGCAACTATGCAAAAATAACTACACTCTGACTTCACCCGTATTTGTTCCATACTACTGACTTTAAAAGTCAAAGAAGGGCAGGCAACCCACAGTAGACATATGGCTTGTGGAATCTATTGGCTCATTCTTTTTGGAACTAGTTAACTCCTTCTTGACCGCAACACAACTTTATTAGTCTAAATATAAAATGACCCTTGCACCAAAATAAAGACGTTGTATACATCCTTCATAATCTATCATTGTATAGCAATGTCAGGTCTACATACCTCTTTCTGTCTGTCATCTTCCTCATCCATGATATCATACACTTGTTCCAGAACCTTCACCCCAAGACCCTTCACAACATCAGCTCTTAAAGCCTCGATCATTCTGCGGAACTTTTGTGGAACTGTTAAATTATCTGCAAAAGATAAAAATTAAACGTTCTTAGATTAGTTTGGGTGCACAGCGTCTGTCTGGCAGGATTCTAAACAGAAATTTAAAAGGACATGTGCACTTTGAACTAAACCATCCCTAGCTCCGCCCCCAGCCCTCTTACCCTTAATAGCATTAACAAATCTGCTTTCTTATCTTTGCTGAAGAGCTGCAGCCCACTTTGGCATTCATCCTGTGTTTTTATGTACTCCCCATAAAATCCTTTACTTGGGTGCACTGCTGCCTTTAGGAGGAAATAGACATTGCCAAACCAAAGAAGCCTAAATGAACTCCAAGAAAAGGGGTTCACATTACAGATAGTAGTAGTACAGATATTCTGTTTTCTCAATCATTCCTCAGGATAACGAAGATCAGGAACATTGGACATCTCAAAGCAGTGCAACTGAGGAGAGGGCAACACATCAACACAACGCTAACAGACCAAGAAAACCCCCCCAGAAAAAACTGCCAGCAGCGTAACCTCCCTGGCGTTATGATTATGTCAGTATTTTTTCTTTTCTTTTGAATTTCTCGCCGGTTACGCCCCCCCTGCAATACTGGCGCTTGCAGGGAAGGAACCCGGAAGACGCCCGAGTATGGCCCGGGTTTACCGCTTTTGGTATGGAGAATTTACCCCCGAGTCACACTCGGGATTACGGCCAGGAAGGTTAAAGAATTGCCTGCATGACCTTACGTCCAAAGCTTGCATCTGCAGATGCCTGAACATCCCCCTGGTCACACTTACAAAATGTAAATGCAGATGCAAGCTTTGGACGTAAGGTCATTTTTAAGTTGAAGACCAGGTGGTGGCCTTGCATATCAGATAAACAAAAGCTGGATGCCAAAAACGCATGCCAGGGATCATGCCTCCTCCCTGCAAAAAGGTAAGCAGGAGAAGGGGCTCTTTGTTTAAATGTGGGTTTGCAGGGGGAAGGGGTTGTTTTACTTTATATGTGCAGGGGGGAGGCCGGAGGAGGTGTACTATAATGATCGAGTGACAGCTGGTGCATGTAAACACCTGAACTCCGCATGTAATGATATGTAATATGATTACATGAAGTTAGGAATCAATCACTTTCCCTGGATGCATCGATTCTGCATCCAGGCAGTGTTTTCCAACCGCATGTAATCATATCACACTCAATTGCATGCGATGTGCAGGCGTTTATATGCAGCGGCTGCCACGTGATCACGAACTTGAACGGGTGACAGCTGCCGCTTGTAAATCGCATCTAAAAACTTACAGATATGAATGGGGCCTTATTGTGACTATATTGGGGTCTGTAGTACCATACTGCATATAGTTACATTTTATTTTGAAGTATGAAATTTGGCAAGTTGCATGGCCCCCAAGTGAATTGAGTTTGAGACCTCTGTCCTAGAAGGTCTGCCAATACAGCATGCAGATCTGTTAGTCGCACATTTAAATTCGGTTGAGTCCAGGTGTCTGCAAGGCTAACAGACATCCCTCTCATTTGGAAAGAGGGGATGTCCCCTCATTGTGAGGAGGACTTGAGAGTCCAGTATTTAATACTAAACTGCGTTGCAGATTTGTGTCTGGAATTAGGGGCCTATGAGAAAAGAAAGGAAATCTTTTGGCCTTCAGGAGGTAGAATAAGATTTTTAATTTCAAGGATTTGGTTTCTTTTTTTGTGGTAAAAAAAGTACTTTTACTGCTAGTGACCTTTCAAGGAAAGCCCCAAAGAGATGTTCTCCATCGAAGGGCAGGCGGAGCAACTACTTTTTACACTGATGTCTGCAGACGGGTATGTTAGCCAGAGAGTGCTCCGCATATTATTAGACAGGAGACTCATTCTGTAAATGAGACAGACAATGTCCACAATATAATAATACAACAGTGTAATGCAGCAAGCCTAAGGTGCAAATGTTCCACAACGAAATGATCAGTAAGGACAATATCATGTTCTATAAATTATGTTTCACTGCGATTACTTATCCCAGTAGCATTCACTCCTCCTATATATTTAGCTAACATATAGTGCTCTGGGAATCTTCTGTCATGTATTCAATTAATTTATAAGAAGTTCTATAGATTACACTGAGTGACCAGATTACTATGACCACCCCCATCAGTACTTCGTTGGGCCACGAGATGACTCCACGAGATGACTTTGTTGGGCCGCCTCGTGACTCCACGAGATGATGAAAGGTGATGCGAGGAATCTGACACTGCACTGTTGCTCTTCTGTTGTCTTGTACCAGTCTTGCCACTCTCCGTTCTGCCCTAACATTGGCTAGTCGCTGACGGCCACAATTCGCACGTTCAGACCCAGATTTTCGGCTGACAGTCCAGTCTTTAAACACTTTACCAACAGCTGCTCTTGAACATTTACCGAATTCTGCTGTTTTGCTGATACTCACTCCATGACTCACGCCAACAATCATCCCACGTTCAAAGGCTGTTAAATCGCGTTGTTTACCAGTATCTTCAGAAACAAATCACTTCTACTGTCGTGGTAAACAACCTGCTTCCCTATTTATAATGGTCTGGCCCTCTAGCAACTTCAGCGCCAAATTAAAGCTAATTTGCCTACAAACGTCAGGTGGTCATAATTATCTGGCCACTCAGTGTATATATAATGTTATAGCACTTTTATGTTTTTAGCCTCTCGGCAATAAGTAAACATTTGGTGCAATAATTAAACCTACTGATGGACTTTTTTTTTTTTCACAACTAATTTTTTGTTTGATCTTTTTTTTAGTTAACTGATGGAGCGCTATATATTGCATATGGTAGGAGTTAGAATACAGGTTACATTAACTTGCACTGGCAAATATAAACTAATATGGTAAATAACTTTTTCATTAGGAAGGGGATACTAATTCCACACCTGATGGTATGTCTTGGAAAAAGATATCTTCTTGGTCTTCATGAGCTCTTCCGTGTAACATTAATGTGTCTCTATATTTTCGGTGGATTCTAAATTCCTTACAAGCAGCTGGTGACAGCTGACTTTTGTCCTTTTCCATGTATAAGGTTTGTGTCATTAGATCAACTAAGTCATTCATATCTCCAGAGTCTGAGCTTTTCCTTAAGCCAAAAGGGAAAAAAAAAGACATGATTATGCATATATTGCTAGCATGCTTTATGTCCTAATAAGTGGATGTGGTGATCAACATTTAGAAAGAAAACATGAATAATATGCAGGGGAATCCTTTCAACAACTTTTTAAAATAATACCTAATTTGGTATAAGTGATATAATGAAATCTAAAATAAGAGATGTAACTAAAAAGGCACTTTGTATATAAAATTCAGAGCTTAAATCAATACAGAATGTTCCTGCTTACAGTACAATGCAGTAAGATTTATGACAAATTAATAATGAAATAGCTGAGGTGGTGGTGGAGTAAATAGTGCCCCAGGAGCACCATCATGTTACAGGCAAATGTCAATTTGTCACAAATGAGCACTTAAAGTACAACTGTCATGATAGAAGTACAGGGGCTTTCATTGCTGGCCTCTGTCTGAAAACGCTAATTACCTGGATGTTTCTGGCTGCAATAGTTCAGATTCACTCATTCTAGATGAACTAATCCTCTGTACACTTCTCTTAAAGAAGAACTCCAGGAAAAAAAATGTCAGCCTACAGTAACTAGCTTTTGGAAGTAATAAAAATACACTATATTACCAAAAGTATTGGGACACCTGCCTTTACACGCACATGAACTTTAATGGCATCCCAGTCTTAGTCCGTAGGGTTCAATGTTGAGTTGGCCCACCCTTTGCAGTTATAACAGCTTCAACTCTTCTGGGAAAGTTGTCCCCAAGGTTGAGGAGTGTGTCTATGGGAAGGTTTGACCATTCTTTCAGAAGCGCATTTGTGAGGTCAGGTACTAATGTTGGAGGAGAAGGCCTGGCTCGCAGTCTCCACTCTAATTCATCCCAAAGGTGCTCTATCGGGTTGAGGTCAGGACTCTGTGCAGGCCAGTCAAGTTCCTGCACCCCAAACTCGCTCATCCATGTCTTTATGGACCTTGCTTTGTGCGCAGTCATGTGGGAACAGGAAGGGGCCATCCCCAAACTGTTCCCACAAAGTTTGGAGCATGAAATTGTCCAAAATATGCTGATACCTTAAGAGTTCCCCTTACTGAACCAAGCCCAACCATAATCCCCCCTCCACCAAACTTTACATTTGGCACAATGCAGTCAGACAAGTACAGTTCTCCTGGCAACCGCCAAACCCAGACACATCCATTGGATTGCCAGACAGAGAAGCGTGATTCATCACTCCAGAGAACACGTCTCCATTTCTCTAGAGTCCAGTGGCGGCGCGCTTTACACCACTGCACCTGACACTTTGCATTGCACTTGGCGATGTAAGGCTTGGATGCAGCTGCTCGGCCATGGAAACCCATTCCATGAAGCTCTCTACACACTGTTGTTGTGCCAATTTGAAGGCCACACGAAGTTTGGAGGTCTGTAGCTATTGACTCTGCAGACAGTTGGCGACTTCTGCGCACTTCAGAATGCGCAGAACCTGCTCAGTCATTTTACGTGGCCTACCACTTTGTGGCATTAGTTGCGGTTGTTCCCAGTTGCTTCCACTTTGTTATAATACACTAACAGTTGACGGTGGAATATTTAGTAGCAAGGAAATTTCACGGAACACCTGAATCCAATGATTTGGAGGGGTGTCCCAATACTTCTGGTAATATAGTGTATGTGCTTACCTTTCTGCATAGCAATGTAGTCTTACAGAAATCCATGGTACAAGTCTGTGCTTCCTGCCCTCTGCCTCTCTGTTAGACCCAGGGCCGGCCTTAGGGGTGTGCGAGCTGTGCGGCCGACACAGCTCCTCCTGGGGGCGGCTTCTCTCCCCCTCACCGATGGCCATTCGATATGACAGCGCTCCCTCGGCCGCCCCCCGAGGGCGCAGGGGGGAGGGCTGCCTGCTGTCAGGATAGCGGAGCGGTGAGGGGGAGAGAAGCCGCGCCCGCAGCTGTCAGGATGGCCGAGCAGGTAGGAGATCGGAGCCGCTGTCATCCTGTCAGTTTCAGGATGGCAGCGGCTCTGTGCATGGCTGAGCGGAGGATCGGTAAAGATCAGTGATATTTGCCGATCCTCCGTGTGCAGCACAAACACTGGAGCGATCGTCTGATCACTCCAGTGTTTGTAAATAACTGGAGGATATAGCCATTGGCGTGTTCTGGAGGCAGGGCGCATTACGTCATATAACACCGCACGTGTTGGGCGCCGCCATCGTGGTGTATATCCAGGTATACACCAAGATGGTGGGGCCAATATCGGCGTGTGATGTCACCCGACGCTGCGCATGCATGGCGTCATATAACATCATGCTCCCCGCCTCCAAGATGGTGGCACGCATTCACAGAACATGCCGATGGCTAACATGGCCGCCGCACATTTTCAAACAAATTATTATGTGCCTGAATAAATTTTTCGTATATTCGGACATATACTAATTCATTCGTTTACATGTAGTCTGGGTTTTGTGTTCTGCATGACATCCTGACACTTTATTTGTATAGACTCTATTGTAGTTTGACATTTATTGTTTATCTTCGGTTGTTTTATTTGATAAGAATACTTATATTGTGCCTACAAGTTTAATACCTTTGAATAAAAGTTTTATTTTTAATCATACTTTTTAATATGTTTCTTTGCGGCTTAACAAATTAGGAGTCTTTAAATGGTGCGGATATTGGGGGAAATGGGTGTGGTTACGGGGTGTGTGGCCACGGAGGGGTGTGGTCACTGAGGGGCGCTGTAAAGCTTTCTCGCACAGGGCACCTAAAGGCCCAAGGCCGGCCCTGGTTAGACCACTAGCCATTTGCAGTCTATCAGCCTAGCCTGAGGTCTAACAACCTCCCTCTTGTAGTTCTATTTCAGCCAGCAGGGAAGTGATCACATCCCAGCACACACTGCAGTGGGTGGCGTAGGGAAGTCTTAGACTGCTGGTCTAACCCCGCCCACAGAGTCTGAGGACAAGTAAGTGAACTGAAGCTCAGGAGCTGACTCAACCTAAAGGGTTATAGTATCAATCTAAATGAGGATCTCCTCTCATTCAGAGTCTGTGAGCGGAATATATATATAAAAAGGAGCAGACAAAAACTGGAGAAGCTGTGCATGGCAACCAATCAGCTTCTATCTTCAGTTTGTTCAGTTAATATTTGAAAATAAAAAAGAGAAGCTGATTGGTTGCCATGCACAGCTGCTCCAGATTCTGTCTGCTCCAGTTTTGATAAATTCCCCTTTGTGTGTCATCTGTCTTATCTCCCTGCAAGGCTGTATGTCCCTTACCACTTACCTGGTCATTGATTCAGTGTACACTGTTCTACTGGAGACTCATATGATTCTTTGATTCAGTGTACGCTGTTCTACTGGTGACTTATATTATTATTTGATTCAGTGTCCTGTGTTCTACTGGGGACTCATATTATTCTTTGATTCAGTGTACATTATTCAACTGGAGACTTATATGATTCTTTGATTCAGTGTACGGTGTTTTACTGGAGACATTTTGATTCTTTGATTCAGTGTACAGTGTTTTACTGGTGACTCATATGATTCTTTGATTCAGTGTACGCTGTTCTACTGGAGACTCATGATTCTTTGAATCAGTGTACTGTGTTTTACGTGCGACTCATATGATTCTTTGATTCAGGGTACTGGTGTACTATTGACTGAGAAGTGTTGTAAGTTCTGATTCTCAGTGTACTGTTAGCTGGCTGATTGGTTGCAGGGAGGTGCTGGCAGAAGCCGACCTCTCTCCTTCTAGTATCTTACCAGAGCTGCTGTCCTATTCAATTAACACGGAACTATTTCATATGAGTCAGTTATCAGGTCAGTCAGATGAATAATTTCATCTAGTTCACTGAAAATAATCACTATTCCACACAGCCAGATGCTTTCCTGGACTGTTAGGAGGAGGTAGGATGACTTCAAAGTAGGGGAATTTGTCATGCAGAGGCACCTGTAATGTATCTATTCCCTGTGTGTGCACTCAACAAAAAAACAATAAAACTAAAGTCACTGGAGCACACAGTACTTTGTAGGCCTTCCCATCTCCGCCCTCAGCTCTGCCTATACACACCTCCCACTTCCTCTGTTTCACAATGCCTCATGGAAGATGTAGTTGGCTCTCTATGCCAGCATAGGACGCTCACTGATTAACTAGATCCTCCTACTAGCTGCAGGAAGGACTGATCTAATAATAGGAGGATGTGATATCACTGTCGGCTAAAAATTAGGATTATAAGAAAATTAAGAACTTGTATAATTAATTGTTATAGCAGTTTGCTTTCTCTGTCTGGGAGGAATCTAAATATATAGTGATGTGCATCCTGGAGTTCTTGTTTAAGCATAACCACCCTTGCTTTCCACAATATACTGCAGGCACTTTCTATGGGTTGTAGAAGAGTGCTGTGAGATGAAGGTTGAGGCATTTAAAGTGAAGCTTTCGGCTATTTTAAAATACATTTTGAAATAAAAGATCTGACTTAGGGCCTGTTCACACCAGCAAACCTCACTGAACACATGGCTGCTGGTGTGTGATAACACGCAATGAAGGGCACAGTGCTGATGCCACGGCTTGCTGGCTGCTTTTTTTTTCTTCATTTCACTAGGTTCTGTGGACACGGCGCAGTGCGAAGAGCCGCACCCCGCTGCATTGAGAAAAAGTACAACATGCCATACTTTTTGTTCAGCGCACACCACCGCAAATTGCCTTGTCTGTATGCTTCCAGTGTGAACGAGCGTAGGCGTGTTATCACATTGTCAGCAAGAACTTTCCATCTTTTGTGCCCTCTGATGCTGCATTACCTTTGTTACCAAGAACTCGACTTCTCTAACTTGGGTGCTATATCTCCCTCCCTCTGAAACAAAGCCCCGCTTACTCACCATCCCCGTCTAAAGCTGGCCATGCACTAGTAGATTTCCAAAAGATTTTATGTTTAATTTTGGAATAGATGGAGTTTCCCGAACGAAAACCACATTCACTGCTCCTTCGAGTTTTTTTGTCACTACGGTTCGTACATAAGTTCTTTTGAAAATCTAAGCAGTGTATAGCCACCATAACGAGGAGGTGCGGGAACTTTGTGTGCAGGGCTTAACAAACCCTTAAATCATATCTTTTATCATCTGCACAGTACAAAGCACTTCTGTAAATGATTTTGTATAACAGAAAGAGTAAATAGTAACGTAGTACCCAAAAAAATCACCTACCTCTCTTTACATTCTCCTTCAGACTTGTCTGTGGAACTTGTGGAAGAGCTGAGATCATCTTCAGACAATTGCCATACAGGCTTTTGTTTTTTCTTCTTTATTATGGCAAAAATATAATGGTTAGTAAAGAGAAGCCTTACAGCAGGATTTAATTAAAAGTGTAATTGTGGCAGCCTTAATGTGCCCATACACTGGCCAGAATTCGGCCATTTTTGATGTACTGACCGAAATTCGCACAGTGTGTGGGGTTGTCGGCTGCCTTTCAGCTGATCGAAGGAGTGGGCTGGAAAATCTTTGTACAATCAGAGCCGGCAGCCAATGAGCTGCCCCCTCTTTATCGGGTATTCTGACAGGTGCTGGCAGCAATTCCTCGATCAACATGCTGTTTGTGTTGATGGAGGAATTGCGTCAATTTTTTGCGCTCAGCTCGCAGGTTGAATGAAAAAAAATTGATAGGTGTATGGCCAGCCTTAGAGGGAGTTAATTGTGAAAGCCAAAGCCGTTATCCTAGAAACACATAATGTAGTATAAAGCGAACTCAAGACGTAAAGAAAGATAAAAAGCTTTTTCTTCAAGTTTTTGAGTTTCCCTTTTAAAACTGAACAATATTACTGTAAGTAAACCCTAACTCCATCATGACCTAACCTTCTAGATCCACTATAGTAACATATAGAGCCAAATAGAGTAAGTAAACATTGAGGAAGATCACTACTCATATCTGTTGAACATTGAGATAAATGGTAAACGATTTTCCATAAATAAACTCTTAAGACACAGAGGGGAATTTATCAAAACTGGAGCATACAAAATCTGGAGCAGCTGTGCACTGCAACCAATCAGCTTCTCTCTTTCATTTTCAAATCTCAACTGGATAAACTGAAGAGAGAAGCTGATTGGTTGCCACTGGCAACTGCTCCAGATTTGATAAATTCCCCTCATAGAATGTCTTAAATATACCATACACAACACCTTCACATTTAGTTTTTTTTAATTGCATGCTTACAAAACCTTATTGTCAAACATTCCAAGAGATCTGGAAAAGTTTGCTCAATGTGAATAAAAACACATGACACAGTCTAATCACTAAACCAGCAAGTTCCATCAAAACAGCTCTCACCTCACGCATACTTGGCAATTGATTGGCAGGATTTATTTCCTCAGCTTTCTCAACATTATTGGCAGAACTTTTTCTGGCTGATGGTGCTTGAACAGGAAAAAAAAAAATCAGTACCGAATAAAGATTGCTTTTTTTTAAAGTCTCTTCTTTAAGGTCTCGTTCACACCTAGGCGTATTCGTGGTAAAAAAGTCGCGCGACAAACCCGCGTTTCCGAAGGCTACTTGGCTGTATCCCAATGGAAACGCGCAACAAAACGGCCCAAAGTAGTATATGTACCTTTTCAGGCGTGGGCCATTTTGTAGCGCGTTAGGGACGGGCGGAAATATGCCAAGGTGGGAACGAGACCATTGAATACAATGGGATTTATATTTTTGAGCGTTTTGTAGAGCGTTCGTCGATCGTAGAACGCGCTACAAAACGTTCAGGTGTGAACGAGGGCTAAGACTCTTGTCCACACGCTTTGCTTTGGGAACACACATCAAGCGCAAGCCAGGAAAATCCAATTGACTTAAACGGAGTAGTGCACATGGAAGTTTAGAGGCTGCGTTTCACAAGCTTTGCATTGTGCTGTGTTTCTTTGGATACAGCACGTACTACAAAGGTGTGTTTGAGCAACAGGCAAACCTTGTGAAATGTTGCATTTTCCATTCAAACGCAGCCTCATGCATCATGCATCATGCATGCAGCATTTGACAAGGACACCCGTTGACATCAGCCCTTGTGTTGTCAAAAATTATCAACTATTCAAAGTTACTTTTTGCTGACATACTGTATATTTAAGTTTCCCTTCAAAACCACACAATATTACTGTGAGTAACCCCCAACTCCATCATGACCTAACCTTCTAGATCCACTATAGTAACATATAGAGCCAAATAAAGTAAGTCAACATTGAGGAAGATCACTACTCATATCTGTTGAACATGATAAATGGTAAATGATTTTCCATAAATAAACTCTAAAGGTGCCCATACACCTTACGATTATCGGTCGAAACTTTTTCGTCCGATGATCGAATAGTTGTACGATTTTCGTACGGCAGCCCCATCCTGCCCCGATGATCGCAAGATTAATTTAGCCGTAATTAACGAAAAGCACCTGGGCGAAATGCGGTAATTGATTTGCCGTATTTTCGTTAGCGCAAGCGCAGTGTAGATCGTACGACTTTTGGCGGACGGAAACACCAGCAACCTTACGACAATCGTACGATCTAGCAAAGTTTTCAAACATGCTTGACCGTCAAAAGTCGTACGATTGTACAGTAATGTCGGTCGGACACTGCAATGCACACATACGATTATCGGACGAAAAGTCGATCGCATACGAAAATCGTCCGATAATCGTAAGGTGTATGGGCACCTTTAGACACATAGAGGGGAATTTATGAAAACCGGAGCATACAAAATCTGGAGCAGCTGTGCACTGCAACCAATCAGCTTCAGAGTGATGTCAGTATTTCATTCAACTTCCTCTCAAAATGTATTTCTGTTGCCATTTCGATAACTGCAGTAATACTGAGACCGGAAACACTGAAGCGGCCATCAAGATGCCAAACAGTTTCACCCATATGTGGATGCTGACATGAAATGGGATATGCTACATACAGCCGATATTAAAGCAGACCTATACCTAAACTAACCCCCAGCACTATGTACCCTCAAAAAAATAACAATCCTATTCTGGGTTCCCACAGAAGTTCACTTATGTGACTACTGACGCATTGGTGACAAGAATCAGTTGAAGGGGAGGGCCAGACTTGATGCAAAGCATCTGCTTCCCCAGTTTTGCCTGTATACTGTATCATTATTTGATGCCCCTTTAGCTGGGATGTAGGGAATGGCTTCGCATCTGGTCATGCCAATACCGGCGCTCTACACTTTAATAGATTCGTCTGCCTGAGGTCCTGCGTTTCCTGGGGACCTCACGGCGTGCTGTGACAGCACTGGTCCGGCCACACATCTCCTTCTCACTGCATGCAGCAGAGACTGGCACAATCCTGGAGAACCCCACCCATTTCTGATCTGTACACTTCTTCAATGAATCAGAAAGTATTGAAACTGTCACAGTTCGATGTCTTTAGAACTGACCTGAATCATCTGCTTCCTTGTTGCAGCAGAGTCTTTGCAGTATTAGTCTGCTGTTTCACATGTGGGTACCATGTCTGGTTCTTGTTCATAACAGATGAGGCTGGGCTTGGTGCAAACCCAGTTTGCTTGAGTTTGCCCAAGCCCGCTCAAAACTCTGACCTCCACCCCCTCCTACTGACCCAAACAATTGTGGGGAGGTGCATTCCCTGCCCCACAGCTTTATGTCACAAAGGGGCAGGGCAACTGCCAAAACTGATTGGTTCAGTGTCAGCGTTTTCAGCAGGCTTGGGCAAACTTAGGTGAACTGGGTTCGCACCAAGCCCAGCCCAATTTCTACTGTTCATCTGTGAAATGGTTTTCTAAGGCTGGAGCCTCTAGCTCTAGCTTTCTAGCCGAACAATTAACCTAACCTATTAATTTCAAAACCTAAACACAGACCAGATGTGGGATTGTTTTAAAAACACAGTATAGAACTTTTTAAGCAGTTACAGCAGTTTTGTTTTTTTTATCCTATTGGGATAAAGGTTTTCACAAATGACTAACGTTGATTATTGTAAGCACCCCTGTCAGTGTTAAATGGTTTCTGTCAACCCTCTATCTGCCACTTTTGCAGCTTAGCCTGTTAAATGAAGCTAAAACAAAATTTACCGGCCAGCTCAGCAGGTAAAAATAAAGAAAAAAAGCCTAAAAAAAGAAAACTAATGCAACCACCACATGTAATGATTAGTAGGCTGTAATATATCACATTTTTGCTTTTGGGTTACATACGCTTTAAAGCTTCCCTCTCCCACACATTCCTATTGGTCAGTAAGGCGGGCTATCATAATGATGAACCAATAGCAATGAATGGAAGGGCATCTTCTGTCTCTGTAAAATAACAGTCATTTTAAAAACAGTATAAAATATATACAACAATGAGAAACTTACCAGATAAAAATATTTCTTCTTGGGACTGTTTTAGTCTTCTTCTCTCTCGTGCTGACAAAGGACGATGGTCCTAAAGAAATATAAATAGGAATCTACTCTTGACTATATATTGCATAATGTTTAATATTTAATACACACTGAAAGTCAAACAATGCCCATGCTGTTGCATGGATTTGTTCAGCTTTCAGCATGCAGTGCAGAGCTCACTGTGTTGTATTTATGGAGAAACAGTGCTGTCCCTCTAAGCTGCCCTCCTGAATTGGACTATAAAACACCCCCCTCTTCTCATCTCTATTACAAAGGTGCGGGGGTTTAGGTCACAGAGGATAGTTAGGAAAACTGAAAGAATTTTTTTATGATTTCAGCTTAGTGCAGTGAAAGTTACAGGCACATTAGATTTCGGACAGGATCAACAGGTATTTTTCCATGCTTGCTAAAAAGAAAACCAATGCAGCCACTACATCCAACAATTAGTAAGCTGCAATATATTACATTTTTGTTCTTAGGTTTAGACATACTTTAATGGGGAGTAGGGAAAAAAGTAAGAATCCATTCACACCAGGGAGGTTTTGGGAGTTTTTTAATTGCGTTTCAGTGCTGAAACACAATTAAAAACGCCCCAAAACCACGCTGATCAGCCAGTGCTTTGTAAAATAACAAGGTAAAAGAAGAGTGCATGGTTCAATGTCTGCAGGAAACAATGAAGAACTGTGGGAGTTCCTTGCAGGTTTGAGGCACATAGATTTGGTGATTTGCTCAAACAAGGTGACCCCCCCTCCAATGCTAAGAAGTAAAGGGAAGATTCTTAACTGATCTTTCCCAAATATTGCTGCACCGATAACTCCAAACACACAGACAAAATCATGGAGAAGAAAAAAAAAACACTATCTGCAGTGAAAAGCAGAACAAGAAATCCCACAACAGATGGCATGGTCCCCACAGAGTCCCGATTTGAATATCAGCTGAGCCATTCTGGAAATACTTGTAGAGAAAGAAAATATACAGTCAAAGCCTCCAGTGGAACTGTGGCAATAGACTTGGAACAACCTACATTCAGAAACTGAATGCAAGTGTACCTAAGAGAATTACGGATGTGTCTTTATTGCAAACAGTAGTCACACCAAAACAAAAATTAATTTATGTTTTTTTCTGCTTACTGCATTTTCTAGGAATCTTGATTAATAAAACCGTTATTGGCATCATCAATGCATTCCTGCTTGCACCTGTGAATGTGGCCAATCACGAGTCTCACAAATTCCTCTTTGAGACTAATGTTATTAACCACTTGCCATCCGCCCGTTGTAAAAAAAACGGACGGACGGCACTGCAGCATTGGTTTTTTTTCTGCGCGGGCGCGCACGGGCAGAAAAGACCCGACCAATGCAAACACCTGTTACCGGGTGTTTCACATATAGACGATCGGCGGCCATCCATATGTGCTCGTTTTTTCGACCGCCAGATCTCTGCTTCATTAACTTCTTTTGGGGTCCCCAGGTGACATTAGGGGTCCTAGAGACCCCTAATGTCTCCATAAAGAGGACCTGTCAGTGTGCCTTTGCTATTATACAGGGGGATTGTTATCCAGGCATGTTCGAAAACTTCAGTCGATTGTACGATTTTCACAAGGTTTGTGGCGTTTCCGTACATCAAAAGTCGTACGATTAACACTGCTCATGCGCAAACGAAAATACGTGCGGTCGATTACTGCAATTTGTCCAGGTGTTTTTTTAAACTACCGCTGAATGAACCTTGCGATAATCGGGGCAGGATGGGGCTGTCGTACGACTGTTCGATCAACGGACGAAAAGTTTTGTCCGATAATCGTAAGGTGTATGGCCACCTTGTAATCGCACAGGCAGTGATTACCTGCAGATGATCACATCTGGACACAGACTGATTGCATCCAGGTGTGATCGTCCACAGCCTGTGCAATTACATGCAAACAGGCTGTGGTTGGTGGTAGCGGTCATTGTATTGTACAGTGCCACCTGCCCGCAGCGAGGAATTTGTGAGACTCATGAGATTGGCCCCATTTACAAAAGTTCAAAACCTATGCAATATATACTGAGGGGAATTTATCAAAACTGGAGCAGACAGAATCTGAACCAGCTGCCCATGGCAAATCAATCAGCTTCACTCTTCAGTTTGCGCAGGTAAGATTTGAAAATGAGAGAGATAAGCTAATTGGCTGCAGTGCAAATCTGCTCCACATTTTGTCTGCTCCAGTTTTGATAAATAACCCCCACTGTATTTTTGGCAAGAAAAGGGTAACAGAATAGAAATGCTTACATGTGCCCTTTTGATTCATGTGAAAAAATATTTTTATTGAGAGCTGCAGTTTAAGTCTACAGCCAAACTCATATGACAAATACAAATTGGCACATACCTGAGAGAATACAGGACTTTGTTTTGAACTGTCAACAGGATCTGCATCAAGAACGTTTCTTACAATTTGAGGTTGTAAGGCAGGGAGAGAAGGCAAAGGTCTGGAACATGGCCCATTAGCCTAGGAGAAACAATTATTTATTAAATAGTAAAATTAAGTCACTGATTGGTCATTTAAGTACATTTACTGCCCCTGAAGTGCATAATAAAAACAGAATTGGTTACAAAAGCCTTATTATAAGATACACTCCCAGGTAAAACTAAAAATGTTATGAACATTAAAATGCATACAGGGAGCACAGCCTCCCGGTTTAAAGTCCCAGTGTTTCATCTAGATATAGCTGCAATATTTATCTGGGAACACTTTAGTTAAGCTGTTTTCAGTATACATGTTCCCATCATACCCACTGTGGGGACCAGTTGTCTCTCTGATACAGAACGCCAGATGTATGAATGTGTCAGCAGAACTATCTTCATCACAGCAATTAATCAGCTTTAGACCTCCACAAGCTGGGGTGTTTACCTGCCACTGGGCAGGTCTGTTAACTAATTTACTATTTTCTAGGGATGCACCGATACCAGTATTTTGGTACCGAGTACCGATATTTTTTTCCGGTACTCGCCGATACCAATTACCGAGCACCAGAAGTCCCATTCAGGAAGCCAGGTGGCGTGTAATGACTCGCCACCTGGCTTCCTGATTAGCCGGAAAGCCAGGCAGCATGTAAAGACTCACCACCCGGCTTCTCAATTAACAAGAAAGCCGACCTATGCTTCTCGTCACTATGTGACGAGAAAGCATGGAGTGGGCTTGCTGGCCAATCATGGAAGCCGGGGTGCAGTGTAATGACGCGGCGCCCTGCTTCCTGATTGGCCGGGAGGCCGACTCCATGCTCCCTCGTCAAGAGATGACGAGGGAGCATGAAGCCGGCTTCCCGGGCCAATCAGAATGCCAGGCGCTGCGTCATTACACGGCGCCCGGCTTCCTGATTGGCCAGGAAGTCGGCTTCATGCTCTCACATCACAGCGTGTAATGACGCGCTGCCCGGCTTCCTGATACAGGAAGTATCGGGTTAGGCATCGGAGCATTTGGGCGAGTACAAGTACTCGCCCAAATACTCGGTATCAGTACCTATATCGATACTAGTATTGGTATCGGTGCATCCCTACTATTTTCAATAAGGGAGCATGCAAAACAGAAGGGAATATACAATTTCTAGTGCCAGCCCTTCAAAAACAATAGTTAAACTCGATGGTTATCATTTCAAAATGCAATTATCTGCAAGAATATCTCCCAGAGAGATGTATTTGTGAACTTGACTACCAATTGTGTGTCCCCAGAACAAACCTTCTCAGAGTCTACTGGCATCCCCTCTTTGATACGGTGTCTCCTCTGTTTCGATAATGACGGCTCAGACTCAGAAGTGCGTGGATGAATTTCACTTGCTTCTTTGTGTCCATCCTAAAAATTGAAAAAGCTACAATAGATGCCTTTGCAACCAATAAGTCATTTAAACATGTTGTAGCACCCTGTAAACAGGAGTGCTGTGAAATGTAGGTATACTCAGACTGTAGTTAGTCTGAGATAGATCTGTAGTTATGTTCATCTAATTATGCAGAACAATCTATGGATGCTGCATCTGCCTGTTGCTGGGTGTGTTTCTGCCACAGAGCAGAGCAGCCAATAGGGATTGTTCTGAGCATTTGTGTCTCCTGGCAAATCACTGGAAGGTATAGGCAAGTGATGCATGCTGGGAGAGGATATAAATGCTCAGTGTGGCTGATGTAACAGTGGTAATCGTTGGATATGGACGTCACCAGCACTCCAGAAACGACAAAATAACAAAAGATTTTAGTGAATCTTCATTTTATTCACTCCAAAGGAATCAAGCGCTTTCGGGGCCGCACAGGGTCCCCTTCATCAGGCTTAAAGTGAAGGACATTTGATGTAACAGTGGGTCTCCCTCCCCCAGGCCTCCCTGGGGGGAGGCTGCTGCTGGCTGACTGAACTGGCTAGGGGGACTAGCCTTATACTGACACTGAGACCTGAATCCGGAGGCACAATGGTCAGCTACGGATAGTGGAGATGAATATGTACGAGGACTTCTAAAGTACTGCTTTGTATGGTGTTCTCTGCACAGATTGCCGTGTCTGGCTTAAAAGGTCCTAGTCTGTGATGGCAGCAGTTACTCTGTTCTATTTCTTAAAGTAGTCTACCTCATCCTGGATGTGCCTGACCCTCTCTCCCTGAAGTTCAGCAATAAAAGAAATTCAGCTTTTATCTACTGTCTGGACTTCACTTTGTTGGTCGGCACTGGAGGTGGTAAGCGCTATTGGGGCAGCCAGGTTACTAGAAATCCCTAGACAGGCTATGGAAGCCCTGATCATTCAGCGGCCCTTGCGGGGGTGAGCGCTACAATATAATATGATAATAATAGTTAAAAAAGAACTACACCCAAACCTTTTTTTGGCTTTAGTTCTCTTTTTGGTCACAGGAGTACATTTAGTAATATATGCTGACACTGCAGAGCTATGCAGCAGCCGGGAAAGAGTGACAACAGGCACGGCCTCTCTAGAGCCAGAGCCAGCAGTGCCCATCCCCTTGTCTCTCCCTGCAAAGAGCTGGAGGAACAGAAAGAGAAGAGGAGGGAATCCCTGCGGGGAGCTATGACTGACAGTTTGTGATCACTCAGTTTGAGTTATAGAGTTGGTATGTGAAAGCTGCAATGTTACACGCCAGTTCAAACTATTGGTAAGAGTAAATTTTACTCTCAATAGTTCTCCTTTAATCGGATATGAGAAAAAGAGACTACTTATTTAATTTCCGAGTACCAATAACCATATTAACTTCCTAGATAACAACACTTACAGGTTCTGTAACTGGAACAAATGGTTCAAGGAGCTTTTCTGTAGATTCCAAGGATTCCAAAACATCCTGTGCGGGAACAATGGCCTTTAAAAACAGATAAAGTACTTTCAATCATACATGCATACATAAATTGGTGTTATATAGGGATAAACTGCACTAGGAATCAAATAACAATCTAAAAGCAGCTGTGCTTGATAGGCGAGTACACCCAAAATAGGAAAGGAGAAAAATAGCACTGCGCTTCAACAAACTCAAAATATATTCCTAAAATGTGTGAAAAATGGACATTGAAATATGCGAGGATATATCTTCCAACTTTTATAATCCACACCACATCCATGAATGCATAAACAATTTGTGAATCAGTGCTCTCCACCGTGCTCAAAGATAAGATCTGGCCGCACTCACCGACTCCTATTGCTCACCATATTTCAGATGAACAATTACGCTTTGTTTATATATATAGAACCAAATCCTCTGCTTTGTTTTTTGATCAGACGATACATTGGGGTATACCGTGTTTCCCCAAAAATAAGACACTGTCTTATATTTTTTGGGGCTCAAAAAAAAACACACTAGGTCTTATTTTCGGGGGAGTTCTTATTTCTTTTTTAAAAGTACAACAATCCACACTTATTTATGTAGAAAAGTCTACATGTATTCGTGTACAAAAATATGGTGATCAGGGCAATCAGGGGTGCCGTACCTTTCCAAGAGCAACTTGGTAACCAATCGCAGGCCAGGATGAGCGAAGTGCACTTTCACTATTGATTCCTCACAGGCGGAGTGCATTTGGTATCACTCCGCCTGTGACCGGAGCCGGCGCTATATAGAGGAGGCATCGGCTTATGTGGCTCTGCTCCCTCTGGTGCCGCCTTGCTCCCTCTAGCGCTGGCTTCATTGGCACCACTGATTCTCTCCCCCCTCTCCCGCGGCTCTTCAAGTTCCCCCTTATGCCACCACTGGCCCTGGGAATGGTCACAACTAGGTCTTATTTTCGGGGTAGGTCTTATATTTTAGCAATTCCCAAAAATAGTACTAGGTCTTATTTTCGGGGTAGGTCTTATTTTCGGGGAAACAGGGTATCTAATATATACTGGTCTGTATCATTTGCTGAATGTTGGACAACAGGTCTGGTGCTCACTGAGGAAACGGTTGTCCACATGCTCCAGTACGGGGATCCCTTGGGACTGCAGCATGGCCAAGACAGGGGTAGAACATTGGTGAAACTGAAGGATAGACTGAAGGGAAGAGCAAAAAAAAAGCTGGGCACCATCAGCAAAGGGTGTCGCCGAGCAGGAAAATGGGAATGTGCAAATATGTTTCCTTGATATCCACCAAGGCCAAGAAATAGAGTAAAGGGAGGTGATGACAGAGCGGGTGGACTCCTTATGCAACTTTTAGGCCTCGGTCACACCAGATGCAGTGCGTTCCAGCCCGATTCTAGCCAGAACGCACTGCATCGCATTGCGGCCGCCTCACTTCTTTGTGGGGCAGGAGGGGGCGTGGTGGGCCATTGAAGTGAATGGCACTGTAGCGAAGCATATTATGCCAGCGGTCCGGTGCGATCAATAAAGTGCTTGCAGCATTTTCATTGCACCAGACTGCAGGCATAATGTGCCTTGCGTTCCCGTGCGGCCGATCGCATTGTGACCAGAGGGTGTGGCTACGGTGCCATTCACTTCAATGGCCTGCCACGTACCTCCTGTCCCACAAAAAAAGTGAGTTGGCCGCAATGCGAGGCAGTGCGTTCTGGCCATGTAAAGCAACAATCATCTCATGTCTATAGCAAGATTTATATTTCAGATCTAGGTTATACAATTATAAGAAACTAACCAAAAGATGGCATTGTGTACATATATTTAATAAAAACAGACAAAAGAAAGACTTACACCTGGGCACCTCCTTTACTGACCAGAGACACCAATCAAAGCCTCTTTCTCACAAAGTCTCTAAACCACAACTGTAGACAGGAAGTGGCCAGAAGGAAGCATACTGCATATCACCAATGTGAGCCTATTCTGGCTGCAGGTATGTCATTTGGTAGGTTACTTCTCATGTTTATGTATAAAGCAGCAAGAAAGAGGGGGTGGCATATGTCAAACTGATTTTAGTCCACTTTGAAAGTGCAGTGTGTAGAAGGTTTTTTCTATCAATATAACCAATCATCTGTATTAAACATTGAAATATACTAATGTTTTAAACACACTCCTAAGCAGACACAAAAAAGGGGTTAATCCTGCTGCTTCCATCTAAAAGGCAGAATGCCCAAATTATAAGTAAAAAAATTAATCTAAATGATAAATAATTCAATGCGGGAATGCACTTAAAACTATGCAAATGTGTTTCATGCATCTTGTTTTTTTTACAGTTTAAATTATTTGAAAATATGCAGCAAGCAGTATTAAAAAAAAAACACACCACATTAAAATCCATCAGTGAGAAGAACTGTGTCTGGAACCAATTCCCATGGACACTTAATTTATAGAATGAGGGCTGTTGGATTGAGAGATGCTTAAGAAAGTGTGAGCTTCATACTGGATCAGCCCTTAAAAAGCCATAAGGGCAACAAATAGCTATTGCTGCATTCTGTATACACATACTCGATTTCTGACATATACACACACACACACACACAAGGTTAAACATATGACAGCTTTAGGCTACCTGGGTTATCTTTTCATCACCTTTGGTGACTGGTTGCAAAAGTTTCATGGTATCCTCTTCATCTTCTAGGCTAATAGAAGAATTTTTATTTTCCATCTTGGAGCTTAATGTCGTTTGCGGCTTTGCTTGAATGTCTTGCCCTCGGGCTCCGTTCCGTGTCACTTTACATGCAACGTCCCTGGAGATGCATCCATTCTCAGGCTGGGGTATTAAATGTTCGTCATGTGGCAGTCTTTTGTCACCAGGTACAATATCAATAACCACCTTGCCAAGGGATGAAATGGATACCGCCATATTATTCCCTTGTTCAGCAGGTGGTGGGGATATGCTGGCTGCTTTTATCTTCACTGGACTCTTCACTTTATTCTGTATTTATTGAAAATAATGATGCATTTAAAGATGACAAAAATAAAACAGAAATGTATTTACCGAAGTATAATTGGTTTATTTCCAGAAGAGTTATTTAGACTTTCAACAATAATAAAAAAAAAAATATTTAAAATGTACTGGAGAAGTATCAAACACTGCATTTCAGTTAGAAAGGAAAAAATGGCAGATTAAAAACAGGAGTAATCAACATATTAAATGTGTTGACATTTTTATATAATTCAATTTTTTATACATATACTGTATATATGGGAATGCGATTGGTGTAAATTATTATCAGTGAATATTTTAAAACTGAATACCAGGCACTATTAAAAATACAATTTTCATGACATAACTGAATTTGTGTTCAAGCATGCTTCCTGTAATCCCCTGCACAGCAGGACTGGAGACTGGGAAATTAAGCCAAACAGGCTTTGCTGCAGTGAAGAGTGCTGTCAGTCTAATAGAGGAAAAAAGAAGACAGGAGGAAAAGCAGACTGATGACTCATCAGTGGGCTACTGCTCCTTAACTGTCCAATCAAGCCGGGATGTGTTCTGGACAAGTGGTGATCCAAGACCTGGCTATACTGTTTGGCCGGGTGCCTGGATCACAAGATATGTTGAACATGTAAAACATTTCACAAATATTTATTTCACATGTATTTTTAACTTCTTGTCTGGAGTTCAGATTTAAAAAACACTCGGAAATAAATATAGTTTGTAATTATATGTAAATGTGAGAAGCCATTTCCTTACTACAAATACAGGCTCTTCATATTGATTAGCAGTGCTTCTCTCATAGCACTCAAAAATGCGAGAGTCACATTAAAATAATTATTTTGCTATGCCACTGCCTGTTTCTCGAATCTTCACTCTCTTTCAAAGCACAAGCGCATCTGGGTTTGTGGAACAGCTGTGTCACCTGCTGCACACTGTAGTTCCAACCACTAATAGGTTTTGTAGTCATATCAGATGGCAGGTGGAACCACAGAGTATGGTGGGGGGACGCAGATATAAGATTTTAAGCCTCTTCCTTTGAGGGCACTTTAAAAATATTTGCAACATGGTTGCTTGAATTCACTATGTAATTAAATATTAGGGCTGCAACTAATCATTATCTTCATAATCAATTAGTTGGCGAATCATTTTTCTGATTAATCGGATACAAAAAATAAAATTAAATACTGTCCTTAATTTAAAATGAAATACAACATTGCAATGTTACAAACAAACCAAAAAAAGTGCTTGCGCATTTTTTTGCAATCGCACTGCACTGGAACGCACGGCATTGCGGCGCCGTGCGTTCCAGTGCCGGCGATCACACTGTGGGTGGGAGGCACGTTTGGGGTGCCATTGAAATGAATGCACCTCCCGCAGCAGAATTTGTCAGGCTGAAACCGAAAAATGACTTTCATGATTTTTTTTAAAATAATTTTATTGTAAGCACATGGTGGTTGAATAGCTTCAGCCAGGGAATGACAGCTGCCAGTGGCAAGATTCCACAGACAGTAGCTGAATGTAAATACAGCAGGTAATGGGCTGGTGCAATAGCCAGATTGCTATCGGTCATTTCAAATTACAATAGCCAATAGCAGGCTGACTATTGCACCCGCTCACTGCTTGCTGGGCCCTCCTCTCAGCGGGGAGGAGAGAGCTAGGGGATCCAACCAACTAATTGATAATGAAGAATAGTTGACAACTATTCTCATAAATTGACTATTATTGATCGATTAGTTGGTTGCCGCCCTATAAAATAAATATTATTAATATATCATGCACCCACAACACATGAGTACTAAAAAGAGCACAGAAGATGCTGTGGTTTTTAAACCGTCTCTCTGAATGAAACTTCCAACTAGGGCCCTTTAACCTCCTTGGCGGTATTCCCAAGTGTGGCTCGGGGTTAATTTTCATTACCAAAAGTGGTAACCCCGAGCCACACTCTTTTTGATGAAAGCAGATAAGGCTAGCCTGAGAAACGTGAAAAGGAATCTAAATCTAAAATGTGAAGCTTGAAAATGTGGATATAAAATAGTATGTAATATCTAGAGATAAGTAACTACAAATATTTTTAAATGTGTTTTTTAGTCCTCACCATAGAAATATGTAAGAAAAAAATATATAAAAGCCTTTAAAGTGGACCTTTACCCCCTTTCATTAAAAATCACCTCACAATGCAGCTCTGCATACTGATATGAAACCACCTTACATTTTTTAATTAAACAAACATATTTTTATTTACTTACAGCTATTGTTTTTTTTCACTTCCTGGTCCTCTTTGGCACAAATTATGTAATTGTGCCTAAAGCGTTGCATCCTGGGAAGGTTATATCAGCAGGGCATTGCTGGGAAATCTCATCTGTAATATCCTGAGATCTCAGGGAAAGGCAAATGTCACATGTCTTAGTCACACGTGCCAGAGTTCCAGGAAGTAAAGGGAGATGTATTAATCTGCCCTTAGTAAACATGACCACTGGAAGAATGGGGAGGAAAAGAAAAACAAGGTATGCTGGCAATTATCTATAAGTATCTGTTTGTACATTGCCATTACTAAACATTTCTAAGGATGTATTTATTGTAATTTCAAAAATAAGGGTAAAGTTCCTCTTTAAATTACGACAAGGATGTGCTTCTCGCCTACATTTTAAAAAGATACATTTAGACATTTCATGTAGCAAAAATTATATTACCACTTTGTGTTCTTTTGCATGGTCCAGAACTGCTTTGTGTTGTACCTGCTGTTCAGCATTTTTGGAGACATTGGCGGAGTCCACCACCTTCTTTTTCCGCCTACCCTGTTTTCTTTAATAATGGTTAAAAAAAAAACAAAAAAAAAAAACACCCCAAACATTATTATTATTTATCTAAGGAAAACATATGTCTACCTGACATGCATCCTTGCAACAAATATATGTTAGATAAAACTGTACAGCTGAAGCTGGACTCCAGGCAGAACGCTAAGGGCTTGTTCACACCAAGCGTGTTCCAGGAGCAGTGCAGAGCAGTTACAGACCGGATCAAAACTGCGTCCAATGTATTCCAATGGTATTTTGGGCTCTAGTTCACACCGCAGCGTTCAGTTCCAGAGCATATATATAAAAAAAAACTGCAGCAAGCCCTATTTTACCTGCTCTGGAACGCATGCAAACGCATCAAAAACGCATGCAAACGCCCTGGAACGCACTGAAAGCTCATTGAAACTAAAAAAACGCCTGGAACGCATCAAAAACACAGCAAAAAACACGGTATACCACACTGCACTGTGTGGTGCAGAAACTCATGCAGATCTGTTCTGCATTGGTGTGAACAAGCCCTTAATACGTAGATTAAATACATATATTGGAGGCTGCTTTACCTGCCAAAGGATTTGGATTTCTGTCCATTCATTCCTAAGATTTACACAGCCTTGCCACTCAGCTCAGCAAGCCTAAAGACCTGTCTTTTCTCTTCTGCAGTTAAGGAATACAACTAGGTTCTGTTTCTGTCCCCAGCTTGAAAATGCACAGTAAAAGGCAAGAAGTCCAAGCTCTGCAGTACAGAGGATTGCAAGAGACTGATACCAAGTCAAATTCAGGTGCAGGCAATACTAGGATTAAAAAAATACGCTTCATTTTTTTTAATGAACACACACACATTAAATTAGTGTTTTATTATATCTGCCTGGAGTTCAGCTTCAAGCTATACTTATACTTATATTAAGAAATATAGTAAGCTGTAATGCCTAAAAAAAATGTTAGAAAAAGGAACCCTTTGTGTGCAAAAGCACTATTACAATTAATGAAGTGTCTATCAGGGATACACATGTGGAAACATAAAAAAAAAAAAAAGAAGAAGAGGCCCATCTGAGGTTACTTACAGGTCTATTCACAAAAGGGTGAAGAGTTTGGAGAAGGCAGGAGAAGTGAACAATCTAGGCCAACATAGCTGATTTGGAAAAATTCTCCAATTCAGCTCACTTTCCAGTTCAGCTATGTTGTCCTAGATTGTTCACTTCTCCTGCCTTCTCCAAACTCTTCACCCTTTTGTGAATAGACACCTTAGTTTGTTCAGAGTAAACAATGCTGTTTTTACGATTATATAAAAGTAATTAACAAATAAACATCCAATACAAGGTGCACCAATGACATTGGAGTCACAGAGAAGGCAAATCAGAAGCTTTTTTTAAGATTCTCTCTATCTGCAAGCCTGTACCTCTTGTTTGAGCAGAGGAGGGAACAAGTCATTCTTTTGCATAATTTTTTCAGTAACTTGTAGCTTTAGCTTCTTCCTGCTGAAATCTGTAGATTGCCATTCTCTTGCACTATGCCCATGCTGAGGTTACATTCACCACTACCTTGAGAGCTTGCACCCAACACTGCGCACGACTGGCAGGTGTCAAACCCGGCTGGCACTGACCGTTTAAGTCCCCACCCCTGAAGAAGCAGACAATGACTGTTCTGGAGAAGTGGACTCAAATTTCCAGAAATGAGGACAGTCCTGAAGCAGGATTTCTCTTACAACAGGGGAGAGGAATCCCATAGACCCCTACAGGCTGAAGGTGCATATCTGGGACCACTAGATCCAAAAGGGACTGCCTGCAAAAGTCCTGACTCCTGATACAAAAAGGAAGACCAAATGTAAACGAGAGAAGGAGAGGCACTGTAAAGAGGCCAAGCCCCCAGGTGCCCCCTAGCCCCTAAATGGGAAGGAGGGGGTAGCTCTGTGACCATGAAGGAAGAATCCAGTAACCCAAAGCAGAGCAGATCCAAGCTGGTCAACCTCAGTCATTGGTGACCGATAGTTTTCAACACTGGAAACTTGAGCTCTTCAAGAGAATTCTGGTTATCAGAATCCATATTAAATGGGGATCATGTGGCTATCTAGAGGAGTTTTGTAACCACTTGTAGACCTTGGCCATAAGTATATCAATAAAAATATAATCTCAGTACATTGTTCACTTTAAATTAGCTTTATTGATTTGTTTTTTTTTCATTTTACTATTTCACTGACGCATGAATATAGGGGGTCCATTTATCAGACTCCATCGGTCTTTCGCTCAAACAGTTTGTCAAACATTCGATAATATATACATATATATATATATATATAGCCAAATGTATCTAAAATTACATTCTCTGACATTAAACACAGCACCATAGAGAGCTATAGCCTGCAGAGTAAAAAAAATAAATGGTAATGCTATTAATTTTTGTGAACCATTGAGCCCAAAATAAAGCCCTTTATTGGCCCAAAAAGTTCACATTTAATGACATTATTATTGACAAGTCAATAGATCCATAGATTATGTACAATTAACAAAAGGGGTAGCAGTTTAGGAAAGGTTCAGGAAAAATTACCGTACTTATTGAAAACATTTATGTCACAGCAAAATTACTTACAGCTTTGAATTTTGTAGGAAAAGGGCAATGTGTTCTTTAATGTAGGGTTTCCTTAGTATTTGCTTCACTGTTGGCCTTTTTTCAGGCTGTCGGCTTAGCATTGTTCCAATAAGATCTCCCAGGTCACTACTGTAATCTTTAGGCATAGGAGGCAGCTGGGAGGAAAGGGGATCATTAAGTTTGTAACCATGTTAAAAAGTTAATGCACAAGAAATGTTGATCTAAAAAAGAAAGAGACACTGAAAGTTCAGCATTCCAGGTAGGGAGGGTAAAGTTTTCCAATGGTGTTATTTTAAAAGAGTGCTGAAATGGATGCAAGGGCTTGTTCACACTAATTGCGGTGCATTCCAGAGCGGTAGCTGCTGGAACGCACCGCAATCGCTCACAAAACTACTCCCTGCGTTTTGGGGGCGTGGCAGTGCATTGAAGTCAATTACAAACTTCCACACCCCCCCACCCGCAGTGTGATCGGACGAGTGGCAAAACATTGCATGCGTTACGTTCCACTGCAAACGCAAAAAATAGAGCAGGCAGCATTTTTCGCGTTTGCAGTGGAACAAAACGCAGGCAATGTTTTGCCACGCGTCCTATCGTGGTGCAGGCAGGGGGACGGGGCAGTGGTGCCATTGACTTCAATGCACCGCCATGCCCCCTCCTGCCCCAGAACGCAGGGGGAAATTTGTGAGCGATTGCCGTGCGTTACAGTAGCTACTGAGATGACATACATAAAAGACATTCTCTTCACACTGTGTTCGCCATTCCAGGGAGTCTCACAATTATGGCTCTTCAACTTCTCAGAGGCAATCGAGGTCCAGGCAGTATTAGTACCACCCTCGCTTCTGTTTTTGCCATCATTTCCCTCCTCATCCTTGTCATGGTGTTTGCTGGATATGTAGAGTTACAATCTAACTGGGAAAGATGTTATGACAGCTGTGCCTAAAAGAGCTCTCACAATCATAATCAAGCATTCTTGAATCCTTCAATTGTTTTCATGCTTCTTCCTAGCACCAGTCAATGAGTGAAACTCGGGAGTTCATTGAAAAACAGTGGCAAGCATTAGATAAGAAGTCAAATCTTGAAAACAGAATCTAAATGTTTTCCCCTTTATGTCGGGACATTCCTTCTCACAGGATTGCCCTCATTGTGTGGTCACCTTGCAGCAGAGGGCAGCACATCACAACACTCTGCACATGGAAAATTCTATTTCTATTCTATTCTATTTCTTTCAAATGAAACCTCCCATGTTGAAAGAATCAGATGATAGAAATCTGACTGTTCATTTGGACAGGAAGGCAGGCCAGAATTAGCCTCCAAATTTTACAGCAACACACGCAATACAGGGGTCTTAAAGTTTCTGCCTGAGATTCATACAGTTTAGCAGCTGTCACCAGATACCTGGGGGCTTGGATCCATGGTACGAACACCTACATGGACTCTAATCTGGACCAAAATACCATCTCTGACCGCAAACATTTATCTATGCTACATATGCAAAAACAATGTATACCCTCGGAGGTTGCCTCCAATCCCATTCCTTACTGCTGCTGGACTCTTTGCCATAAGATTTGAACAGATATCATTTGAACACTCATTCTTTATACTTTTTCCCTTTTTAGGGGAATCCTTTCTCCAGGCCTCCAGAAATCAGTTTTTTAAGAAATGGTTGTTATGCGCGCTCTATCCACAGTGAACTCTCTCACACAGTTTTCTACACGCAAACTGCTTAACATTGAGGTTGGTTCATGAGAACTTTACTTTTTTGAACGCAGAGCTCTTCACCTTTTGCAGATGAGCATGAGATGTAACACATTATCAAAAAATCTTGTCTATTGATTGGGGCAATAGCGACAAGAATACCATCCACTGTGAAGCATGGTGGTGGCTCACTGATGTTTAGGGGCGAGCTCTAAAGGCACAGGGAATCTTGTGAAAATTGATGGCAAGATGAATGCAGCAAGTTATCAGAAAATACTGGCAGACCATTTGCATTCTTCTGCATTAAAGCTGCGCATGGGACGCTCTTGGACTTTCCAGCATGACAATGACCCTAAGCACAAGGCCAAGTTGACCCTCCAGTGGTTACAGCAGAAAAAGGTGACGGTTCTGGAGTGGCCATTACAGTCTCCTGACTGTATTATCATCGAGACACTCTGGGGAGATCTCAAATGTGCGATTCATGCAAGACGATCAAAGACTTTGCGTGACCTAGACACATTTTGCCAAGACGAATGGGCAGCTATACCACCTGCAAGAATTCAGAGTCTCAAAGACAGCTATTACAAAAGATTGCACACTGTCATTGATGCTAAAGGGAGCAATACACAGTATTAACAACAGACTTTTGAACAGGGGTCATTTCATTTTTTTTATTTGTTTTGTTTTATGATTGTGCCATCCTGTTATGACCTACAGTTGAATATGAATCCCATAAGAAATAAAAGAAATGTGTTTTGGTTGCTCACTCATGTTTTCTTTAAACTATATTACCAATTTCCCAAGGGAATGCAAACTTTTCAACACAACTGTAACTTGGTGACTTATCTCCCCTTGCCTTTGTCAAGGGTGATCTTTGGCATTTTAGACTTACATGGAGCTGAAATCACTGCAGGCTGCAGGAAACTGTTGTCAATTATATCATTGGTGGAGAACAAAAACAATATTGAACCATTGGATACATCCTGAACAACCCTTCCTGAATAAGCTGATGGCCATATTTAAAATGGACTGGATTGAGAAAACACTTGGCAAATAAACACAAACTCAGATTTTTTTGGAAGCCTGGGAGTCATTTACTTACACTCTGCCAACTTTTACCAAACAAAAGCTTATGCAAAGCTTTACTTTAACTTCCTCATACACTTTTAGAAAACCCTCCAATTCAGCTCTAATGTTTCTAGAACATTTTCCTCCGTGCCCCCACCCGATTTTGTTTTGTTCTAGATCCTGAACTCTTGGCCGGCTGTTGTTAAATATCTTTTTTTTCCCCCCAAAGTAGTTAAAAAAAGAAAATCTTGAAAAAAATATTCTTAACCCTTGCAGAGGGGCTACCCCGGACTGGAAGGGTTAAGTATTCATATAAAAAGTTCTATTCACCTGATCCTCGCAGCTGGCTGTCCCTGCAGCCTCGCTTCCCTTCTGCACCAGCCATTAAAGTTCCTGAGATTCATCACATCTTATACAGTGAATAGGACGCTAGAACGTTGAGGGGAATTCCATCGTTGGAGTGGAGGAGCAGAAAGGCTACAGGGCCTGCTGTAGCAGACATCTGGCTCTGAGGTTAAGGTTAGTATTTCTTTGTTGTTTCCATCTCTAGATGAAAACAAGCACTTAACCCTTGCAGTGTGGGGGTAGCCCCACTGCAAGAGTTAAGGATAAAAAAAAAAAAAAGCATAAAACACCATCACAGGGCAAATGTCACAAAATGCGTCCACATATCTCAGCCAAAGAAACTGATTTCTGGCTAATAAGTTATCTCTTAGTCATACTGTTTGCAAATATATAGTGACATAGTATCAGCCATTGAAAACAGCATTATTTTAATTAAAGCTATTGAGTAATTACCTTCCCTTCGATGATACGATACACTAAAGAGTTCATATCTTTAGCATTGAAGGCATGTTTCAGAGTTGCCATCTCATACACACAACATCCCAGGGCCCAGACATCAGACTGCAAAATAACAAAGGTATACTGGTTACCAAGATCATAGGTTATAATAGTGAGCAATGATATGTCGCCTTATCCAAGCTTAAGTGTAACAACAATCATGCCAGGAAACACGAAAGGGATGCCACAACCATACTGTAGAAGCTATTTATCTAAACCCCAAAGAATTTAAATAGATCTATACTTAGATGTTAACTTAAAGCTGTAAACAGTCTTGCTGGAATGGATAAATATGCATTGACCGAAAGGCTTAAATACTTACCTTTCCTGAAACAAATATGCTCCATGTTTGCTCTAGTGCTGTTGACAATCAAAATTATTCAACCACCATTAAAAATTCAAGTTTATTGGCAAAATGTACAGTCTTTCAGCTGTTTGCAATGAACAAATCAAACGAAAGCAACTGAAATAAAGTTTTGCAACTTTTAATGACTTCTGCACTCTTGGGGTAAGTGTTTTCGGTGGCGGTCTCAGTATACCGTGAGCACTAGCTCACGATATACTGAGCTTTGGGTCACGGGAGGATGCAAGTTTATGTCCTCACGTGACCCTTAGGAGAACTATGGGGAAAAACACTTACCCCATAGTTCTCCATTAAGTTAACATTTGAGTATAGGTCCACTTTAAAATGAATCTGTGTTTGCCCATGCTGGCCCTCTAGCTGCGTATACTTGCCCGGTTACCCTGCTGTGTCAGCTCTGGTTGCAGAGGGCTAAGAGCTCTCTCCCTGCCCCTGAGCAATAGCACTATTGCCAGGTAAATGGTTACACAGGTATCCAGTACTGTGCCATGGGAGGAAAGGGGATCGATTTGCCTGTTCTCAATACCCACATGTATTGGGTAATTGTTTTCTCTCTGGGTAGTGGAACAAAGTGGGTGTGGGGGTATGGGGAGTGAAGGGTAAGTATAAGCAGCAGGGGTGCACAGGAAAGGCACGTGCTCACTTTAACTATCAATAAATGCTTTTTTTTTCTTTTTAGGAAATTAAGAGGTAAACTTCTGCATTTCTACTCAATCCCAAACTTCTAAACCAATGTGTCCAGCTATGGTATAGTATGGTATAGTAAAATAACAATTTAGTCAACATTACCTTATAGTTGTATGGTTTATTAGAGAAAAGCTCTGGGCTCATGTAGTAGGGAGTCCCAATAAGAGTGCTGGCCATATCATACTGGCTCTCCAGGACCCTGGCAATTCCCAGATCTCCCACTTTGATGATATTGGATTTGGTCAAGAAGACATTCTGAGTTTTCAGATCACGGTGCATAATGTGCAAATCATGTAAATACTGCAAACAAAAGTGACATCATTATGAAGCAAGTTAAGAGTATTACTAGCAAAATGAGAGTTAAAATATATGTCCTGCCAAAACTGCTTTTTATTGTTTAGTTTTGGATAAAAAGTGGGGAAGGGTTAGAACCCATGTCATGTTTTTACTGCTATCCAGTGCTATGGTAGAGGGATTTACCTTAATTTCCTGCCCCAATGACAACCTTTTACCAGACAGGAACTGAAGTGAGTGAACCCTCCAACAGCAAAATCAGACATATGCTCTACTCCCTTCTAACTAAAAACATGAGTTGATTACCTGATAACTCTGTTTCCAGGAATCTTCCAGGACAATTTTGGCTTGACATACAATTTAACCCCTTCATGACCTAGGCCTTTCCCCCCCCCCATTTCTTGTGTACATGTTATAATCCACATTACTTAAAACCCCCAAACATTATATATTGTCTGAAAGCCAAGACCCTATAGAATAAAATGGTGGCATTTTTATGTTGCACGATATTAGCGCAACTCCTTACTAAACCCCCAAAGTTAAAGATAAAATGCACTTAAAAGCCCCAAAACACAATACAATACTGATTTATTTTTATAAAACATAAAAGATGAGGTTACAATGAGTAAATGGATAACCAACATGCCCAGGTTAAAATTGTGTGCGTCCGTGAAACTGCAACAAAATTCAGCACCCTAAAAAAAGTCCATAGATGACGCTTTAAAAGCCCCCACAGGTCATCAGAGAGATACGCGTAAATATTGGCCCTAGAATTATTGCCCTCACTCCGGCGTGTGCGGCGATATGTGTAGCACGGTCGTTGTTTCATACGTAGGTGCACCAGAAGCGTGTTTATGTGAAGACGCAAGTGCTCGTGGGGGAATTTAAGAAAAAATTTTTTGTATTTTTCTTTTTTTTAAACTTTACTTTAATTGCTATGACGTAGGGGGGATTATAAGCCCCCATGTGATGGCATATTGGCAGTGACAGGTCCTCTTTAAGGTGATACTGGGGGTAACACACACAGGGACAAATTAGAAAGGAGCCAATTAACGTTCCAGCATGTCTTTAGAATGTAGAAACCGGGTGTCTTGACCGCGATTCAAACCAGGACCCCCCCGTTCTGCATCGCAGAAGTACTAACTACTATGCCACTGTGCTGCCCATATCTTCGTTTTTTTTTATAAATTCTTTATTTATTTAACGAGTTTTCAGACAGTAAAAAACATATATAGCAAGCAAGGGAAACAACTCCCATCGTAAAAGCAGTGGACGCAGCCACCAAACAATGACATTACAAAATAGTACGGTAGACAGTACACACTTTCAACCCTAAGGCATATGAATCCTGGATAAAGCCCTCTCGGACAACCACTCAACCTGTATGTGGATGAGATCGTAGATCTCTGGAAGGGTCGCGCTTTGCTATAACGGGCCTAAAGTATCTGAGGAGACCGCCCCGGCGACGCCCCATATCTTCGTTATTTTAGCTCCTTAATCAAAAAACGAGCACTTAACCCTTGCAGTGCAGGGGAGGCAAGCAAGATTTAATTTGCTTGGAGTTCTTCTTTTACTCTTAGAAGTAATAAATACCAGCAAATATTACACATTATTGAGCAGCATCTTCTTAACATAAAAACATAGCAAAGTATAGTACCATGCAGCAAAAGTCATCATTCATTGTTGTGACTGCTGTAAACCTGACAGCTGAAATTGAATTAGTGAATTACTTAATTTCATACATCATCACTGCTCTTGTACTGGTTATGACAAAGTGAAACACTGTGTTATTTTGAAATAAGTTTGACACAATTAGTATATCTAGTGATCATTCTCCAGGCAGTAAATAAAATAACAATGATTTACAATATTTTTTAAGGTAAATATTAATAAACAAAAAGTGCTTTGACAACCAGAAAACATCTTACCTGTAATGCCATAGCAATCTGAACGAACCACTCTACCACTTGGCCCTCTGGAAGAAGTTTGCCTTTTTGATGTTTGAGATTATTGTATAAGTCTCCTCCTTCACAGTAGCCCATGACAATGTACAGCAATCCATCTCCACCCTCCCAGGATTCCTTATAGGCCACAATGTTTGGATGTTTCAGCTTAGAAAGAAGCTGAGCCTCTTGCTCTGCCGCCTTCTGCTCCCTACGAGGGGCATTGCGAAGATGTAGCTTTTTAATGACATACTGTGAAAAGAAAAAGAACAAAAAAAGTATGAAATCAATGCGATCTATGAGTGAAAATTATTATTTTTTGCTATTATTATTTACGTTATTTTGTGTTTTGCCGCAGAACGGTCACACGTGGGCTCTATTGATCAAGAACCGATCACAAACCGCTGATAACTCAGATAAGATCTCCCTGCAGAGAGCAGTAACTGTCAGTCACTGGCCCCCGCAGGGTTCCCTCCTTCCCTCTCCGTTCCTCTAGCGCTGAGTGGATTGACAGACAGGGGAGGGAGTGGGCACAGATGCTAATCAGGCAGGGGGGTGGATCACGATTGTCGAGACCTTTCCGGCCGCAGTGCGGCTCTGCGCTGCCAGCATATAGCGGACAATAGTTCTATCAGTTCTAAAGAGAACTGTGGCCAAAAAAGGTTTGGCCATTGTTTTCTTTTAAGTAAGAGAATGAGGGCTCAGGAACCCTCAACAAATGTTTGGCGCAAGATGAGCACTGGAGAGTAGGTATGGTTCTGCCTACACTGAGCCCCTAGAAAGATGGGTAGAATAGACAAAAGGGACAGATAAGCCTCTGAAATCTGAAGGCACTTTTGGTTTATCAACTTGGAAAACTTTTCTCCATGACTATGGCCCCCTACTGTGCCGAGATACTGTGTAAAACAAAGCAAGGAAAGTCCTCTGTCTGCCAATTTCTGGGCACAGAGTTCAGTGTACCTTTCCCTTTGGAACAAATAAACATGAGTCTAGGTCTGCTGGGCAGGTACCTAGACTTATGTTTATTTGTTCCAAAGGGAATGGAACTCTGAACTCTGTGCCCAGAAATTGGCAGATATCAATTTGTGGATTGCAAAATGTAAAATCAACCATATCTTGGCCTGATCTCAAATGGCGCAGTGGTACAGAATTATTGCTGCATGTTTCACTCAGGACACTTCAGAATATTTATTTTAATATACATTTTTAGAGCACCAAAAAAACTAAAAATAAGCATACATTTACCATAAATTCACCATGGGAAAACAATAAACAATACCCTATGCAATGAAACTGATACTCTTTTTTTGCCTTATGAGTACAGTGTACTATTAATAATGCAGCATGAGTAAGCCAATATTAACATGCAATTTATGCCTGGCTACTATCCAAAGTGTATGTATAGCCAAAACTATGATTACTTTTGGATAGAGCGGGGAAGGGTTAAACCCTCACCAGGTTATTTTTCACTGTTTGTGTAGCGCTGGGAAAATGCCACTTCTTGCCACAGAGACACAATAGGAAGTTAGAGAAAATCTCCCAAAGTTAGGGGAATTCCCCTCTTAGATAGCTGTCACTTGAAATCACTCTATTAGAACATCTCCCCTTACCGCTTGTTTTGAGGACAACTCAAAAATTTTGGATTTCCCCTCACTTTCTGTTTTGGTGACAGTTTTCACCAGTACAATTTCGCCATAGGTGTGAATCTCACCTATGGGGAAACAGACAGCAATTAAATGTGGGTCTAACCCTTCCCCACGCCATCCAAAACAAAAAAGAAAAGGTTATGCCTAGAGATACACTTTAATATTGAACAGTACATACGTGTTGCGAATACTTTTAAAAGCAGACACCCTTATAGATCCTATCCACAGTATACCCTGACACATATAGGCAGGAAATATATGGCTCAGTAGTAATGCAACAAGAGCCACTTGCATCAGTGTATAGTTAATATCTAAGTAATAAATAGCATTTGCGAGCATCTGATGCCCGTTTTAATTCCACTTCCTACAAAGAAAAGACAAAGCTCTTCACCATAAAGATACAACATCAAAAAGTCAGAATAGGATCCTGTTAAAATGTAAAGTCCAATCATCAGGAAGCAGAATCCTGACAATAATGCAGATAGTAGGCATTGACTCTAAAATACTACCAGACAACAAACATACATATACTAGAATTTACTCAGCTGTTATGACCAATACCGGTACCTAATGCTTTATATTTAATTTCCTTTGTATCTGTTACTTAAAGGAGAACTATGGGGTCAGGGCTTTTCCCCATAGTTCTCCTAAGGGTAATGGGAGGGCACAAACTAGCGTCCTCCCGTCACCCAAAGCTCAGTATACCGCGAGCTACAGCTCGCGGTATACTGAGACGCCGCAGCCGGGACGGATCCTGACATTACTGTCTGGATCCACCCAGCTGTGTGAGTGACAGCTGGCTCTGCCTATCTAGAGGCAGAGCCAGTTGTACCCGCCCCCTCCCCCATCCTTTCCGCCAGTCAGCGCTGGAGGATCGGAGCGGGGGAATCCCTGCAGGGAGCCATGAGTGACAGTCATGGCTCTCTGCAGGGATAGATCGAGAAGTGAGCGAGCGACAGTAGGTGTTCGCTCACTTCCCGATCTATTGAGCCGACCTGTGACAGTATAATTGTCACAGGTCGGCTAGAACTATGAGGCTGAGTGATTTTCACTCATCTCATAGTTCTCCTTTAACTCTTTACTTGTTCTCTGTATAATTTGTGACTCCTGTAATGTCATCATGACAACGTTTGCTAATTGGTATCTACAGTTTTTGTATCTTATGTGGGTTCTTTATTGCAGTTATTCTGCAGTTTTGGGTGTTCTGCTCGATCTGTGTATGTTCCAGCAACTCCCATTACACTTACTATAATTTAAAATACATTAAAAAGCCATCTGCGATAGCAAAATTAATTCAGGAGTTAAAAGAGAACTATGGGGATAACTTTTTATCTCATAGTTCTCTTAAAGGTCTTGGGAGGACATATACTAACGTCCTCCTGTGACCCAAAGCTCAGTATATATAGCGAGCTATATACTAAGAGCGCCGCAGCCAGGACAGATCCACACAATACTGTCAAGATCCACCCAGCTGGATGATTGAGGAACAAAAGTAGCCACCCTCCAGAAGGAAGGACAGTGTCAGCATGAATTCAGAGATGATTTGAGGATCTACAGTTGGGTGATACACAAATAAGCTACATTTTGTTAACAGGGTACTTGAATGCAGTTTTAACTCCTGAATTTAGTGTCACTTTAACAAATTTAACCCTTCCAGCGGGGCTACCCGCACACTGCAAGGGTTAACTGCTCATTTTGGTCTAAGGGCAGGATTTAGGAAGGTATACTTACCTAACTGTCATTCCACTCTTTTACTGTTGCTATTGGTAACTGATGAGAAACTATGCATCCCACTGCAAGTATATCCCTAACCATTTCCACTGCATATTTTCGGTACATACAGTATGACAGTCATGTAATATTTTCTTTTTTTTTCCAAGGACAAACCCAAAAATAGTTTGTTAAAATGTCCCCAATTGCTGTTTGTCTCCAATGAGGGGAGATTCTCCTCAATTCCTGTATGATCACCGGGACAAGAAGTCAGGAACACAAACGGCGATATAAACCTCCCCACACCCCACAAATGTTTTGGCTGGACTTCCACATTAATATTTATTAATCTGTAACAAAAATGTATAAATCTAATTTACTAGCTGTAGTACACAGGTCATGATGGAGAATGCAGCACTCCAACCTATTACTGCACATAACGATGTTTAGGATAATGGGGGAATTCAATAAAGCATGTACTATACTTTTCTGGTAGCATTTTTTGGTTTTATTACCACCTGTTTAAGAACCTGTCTCCCTGGCTGCGACAGATTTAAAAAGAATTACTGCCAGTTCACAGATTAGGAAACTGGTGGTAATTAAGACCAACTCTGATGTACAGAGAGACTGCATTGCTCAAAGCAGGGCCTGTATGGGCTGTCATAAATGTGACAGGTGTGACAGCTGGCCATTCAGGGTTCATTGGTGGATAGGACACTGAGCCGGGAGACACACCAGCCCACAGCTGAATGTAAACAAAGGGGTCATGGATGCCGACAGACATGCTGCTCGTATTTAGGTAATAATCTCAACCACCATTCCCACCCCCGTTTACATTCAAAAACACAAACTGATGTGATCATCACTTTTTTATGCATGTTTGGATAGACTGGAGGAGGGTTAGAACTCCTGTCAGGATTTTATTACTCTCCGTGTCCCTGCCCCAGGTAT